CCCCAAAACCCCAAAACCCCAAAACCCCAAAACCCCTTAGTGGCTATAAAATAATTTACAATTTTGATAAATGGAGAAATTACCAATCGAGAAAGGTAAGAAGATTACTTTAAACGAACTTTAGCGCTTATTATTCAACTATAGATCCTCGATATAAAATATTACTAAGTAATTACTCCTTGAAAGTTCAAAGCCAGAGTAAAATGGATTTATGGAAGGTTTCAGGACTGTTCAGTTTCTTCTTTGCTCCTTTTTACACAGTAGCAGCTTCCATGCAGATGTCAGTAAAGGCTCATGAGAATTTGTATGGAACTCCTCAGAGAGATAGGGATGCTCTAAAAATGTTTGCTGAAAAGACTGATAAGAAAAAGATGCTAGAAAATTCTGAAGGCAAATCTTTGGTCAAATCTGATTCAAACGCGAATATTAAAGTATTTGAGTCTAAAAGAACCAAAAAGTTAAAGAAACTAGCTGGATCTGTAGGGAAGAATGCACCTTATAGAGCTCCAGTTTATCAAACATATGGTGAATGCATAAGGGGTCTCTATAAGCAAGGAGTTCTAGGATTTTATAAAGGAAATTTATACAGACATCATTACATGTTGTCAACCAGTCTCTTGCAACTAAATATCGCACATAGATTAGAAGATAGGATTGGAAGCTTCAGATTCTTCTGCCACTTATTTGCAGGGATAACTGCTGATACACTTTTCCATCCTTTGCATTTGATCGAGTCTCGGTACATTCTTCAAAACAGGTAATTGTTGTTGGATAACTCATGAATAGAATTCCTGCTTTTACTAGCTACAAATCACTTTATACGTTGGCATTGGCTACAAGATTTGACGTGTAGGTGCTTGTGTATCTAGCTTATAGATATCAAGGGGTGGCATGACATATACCAAAGAATGTAATTTTGGCATTTGGATATTTTTCTATATTCACAGCAATGTCTCCAACTATGTTCTTAATTAAGGAGCTAGCAATACAGGCTTTAATATATCCAATAATCACAGTGATGAGGAGAATAGAAGCTCAAACTGATAGAGCAGGAATGATCCCTCAGAGGTACATAAATGCAAGACACTGCCTTGGACTCACTTGGAGAGAAGAAGGAATTCGGGGGTTATATAGAGGATTTACAAGCTTCTCAATAGGTAATTTGTACTCCTGGGATAATATTTAATCATGATATAGGGATGACCTTGTTCCTTGCTTTGGTTCCATTAACTGCATATTTAGGATCATTGAATAACCCAGTAATGGGCTTTAGAGATCCTGACGAGGAGTAAAACATTTGATTCAATTTAAATGAGTATATTGGGGTTTTGGGGTTTTGGGGTTTTGGGG